TTAAAGGATCCATAATTAATGTATTTCAAAAATCACTTGTCTGGGACATAGCTTCTTTATTACAGCCACTTTATTACATTCTCAGAAATACTTCATATTAGCTTCCAGTGAGTGTATGAAACATATTGCAGCTAATGAAGCAGAGAAAGGAAAGTTCATTAACTTCTGTTGAATACGATTTCCTTTATTTCCTTTGTGGATCAACTGCAGTAGTTATCATCACATTAGCATTTGAATAATGAACACTAGATTGTTGTCACTATCAACAATCTGTAATTACAGTGGTTGGTAGGCCTAGATATACAAATCAAAATGGATTAATTGACATAGAGAATCTTTCACAGTGTACGGATACAAATCTACTCATTACATTACTAACTAACTCAAATCCTGTTCAGGGGTGTACTGGTACATCAAGCTGCCTCATGCTAGAGCAGGGATCGTCAACTGGCGGCCCGCGGGCCAAATACGGCCCACGGCTGAATTTATTTGGCCCCTACAAAGTTTAGCAAAAAATTATAATAACTTGTTTAGTAATATTTTCGTTTTTGGACATAATAGACTGTAACTTCACTAGGAATTTAGCTCAAAATGATTTTAATTTAGGAAATCTATTCCCAAGTATTTCCACTCATAAATAGAGCAACTATCTCTCACAGTCTCAATTCAGAATTAGACATTCATCCATGTTTCTCAAATGTCAAATTTAGAAGTTGAGTGTTTAAGGTCAAGTTTAGGCATTAACTCCGAATTTTTAAGGTTAGGGATAGGTTTAGGCATTAACAAAAAAATGTAAGGTAAGGGTTAAGGTTTGGGATAGGCTTAATATATATATATATATATATATATATATATATATATATATATATATATATATATATATATATATATATATATATATATATATATATATAAAACCTTTCTATCACTGGATTCAAACTTGCAACCTTTGAAATCAGAGGCAGGGTTAAGTTTAGGCATTAACTCCGAAATCTCGAGGTTAGGCATTAACTCCAAATTGTTAAGGTTTGGGATAGGCTTAAAACAAAAATAACGTTCTATCGCTGGATTCGAACTTGCAACCTTTAGAATCAGAGGCAGATACTGGCTTGTATCACGGGTGACCTGGCTGGAATAGAGAGACATACAGTATGGGATTGTGGACCAATGTATTCAAGGTTTGAAATGATTATGTTTTTGTCAATTACAATATCTGTTTGGGCTTCTTGCGTCAATTTGCAGAGTACAAATGATTTATCCACTCAATAAAAAATCGTCCCACGGCTGAATCTAGTTGATGATCCCTGCACTAGAGAAACAAGAGATTTTGCAGGGTCTCATTCTGGCTCGGACAAGGCTTACTTACTTACCATTTGGTCTGAGAATGTTAAAAAAATTATATTTTTAAACATTGATCCCAGTTACCTAAGTCTGGGGTGGTAATCTTGTCATATCAATTGTCACTTTAATCCTCAACTTTTGTCTGACAGCATGACTGCATAGCGGCTGTTCAGTGGTGCACATTAACAAAGATTTGCCTATTAATATTGGAGCGGCAAAGATATTAAGTGACACTTGCAACCAGAAACTCATGCATTTCAAACTTTTAAGATCAATTTGAACCTAACAGTCCCTTTTTCGTTCATTACCTAAGTAACCATAAGTAACCATTAACCATTGATGACCGTTCATGTTATAAATCACATTACTCTCTCACCTGGTATGATGTACAGTGTGTACAAGTCATGTCCTCTGTAAGATGTCTCCATCTATATCTTAACTTTCCTAGTTGATGTTGACATAGTCTCAGATACAACAGAATGCATACTAATTCTTATGTAACGCACTGTTTGGAGGGTTCAGAGAGTGGAACGTCAATCATCAACATCCAATCCCCTTCAAAACTGTGAACAATAAAACACATAGATCATACCAGGTGAGAGGGTAATGTGATTGATAACATGAATGGTCATCAATGGTTAAATCATTAACAGTCTATTGATGCACCCGTCTATGGAAAGATGAGATTGTCACGATTGTGTTCTCCGTTTTGCTCTACGACCCCCACAAGCCCATTGGGACTCGTCTGAGGTCGGTACCGCCGATGTGCCAACTTCTGTTTGTAGCGTCAAATAACTCGTCTGAAGGTAACCGGTACCGGTAAAACATTTGTTATGGAAGTATGAAGGTAGTTTTGTGCCAACAACAAAAAAAAATATTTCCTTATCTTTCTTATATCTCCTAGATATAGGAAAGACACTTCAAAACCTTATTCCTTATGATTTCTTTTTTGACTGTCTGTTTTTCCATTTATGAATGTGTTATTCAATGCATTTCTATGGGCTATAGTGGTAAAGTCCAAATTCAATATGTAATTATTTATTTTTTGATACCTCCAGGGGTCCTAAAATTCCAAATCAAATAGATAAATGATCCATGGTATGACCACCAATTCCCCCCCCCCCCAAAGGCTTAGACCTTTAGAGGTTAATGGTCACTTATGGTTATCAATGTTTAATGGTTACTTATGGTTCAGCAAATCTATCTAATCATGTTGAAGTGCTGAGTCACTGCAGCCTGAGCTCAGCTTCAGACCATCGGCAGACGAATACTGATAAGCAGATCTAATGCAGAATTGTCACAAGCTCCTCGTCATACATGGAAAGGAAAATGTATTCCGACTAACGTTGCATTATTTTTGCCCTTGTCTTTCAATACTGGTATCAAATTATCTCCTCTGAGAACTTTCTACAGCTTAAGCACTCCGTGTGTTGACCGTTTCGTAATCCAAAGATGCTGCTTGTTACAAGTGTTTGTCCAACATTCACCGAGGGGCATAGACTCATTACTAGTACATGTATAGCATGTGCTGTTCTTTAAACCCACACACACACACCGACCAGTATCACTTAGGGGCATATGTACAGTCACAGTAATCTTCAGCCATAATGAGTATAGGTCTACATGTCATACCTTTTTTAGCATGCTTGTGCCTGATAGAGATTTTCCCAGCATGAGAGCTCTCATAGGCCTACTGGGGAACAGTGTGATTACTAGGCAGAATAACAAGAGCAAAGCATTATCATCCCTCTTTCCTTGTCACATGCCTCCTACAGTAGGAGTAGCAGTAATGTGCGTGTGCACGTGTGTGTGTGTGTAGTGTGCAGTGACATTCAGAACTCTTGTTTGTCAGGGAATAGATTAGCTTCACAGTGGAATGCTGGCATTTGAGGTAATTTTTTTCAGGGGGGTGCTTTAAACACTGTGTGAACTCTCTTCAATCGAAATGTCGCACTTGTAATAATTTAAATGGTCAATGAATCGCAACTACATTGACAGCAAGGCATAATTGATTTATGAATCCTAAACAGGTCTTTTGTGGGGATCATTTGTAACAATTATTCTTCATACTGGTTGGCTATTTGTTAGTGTTGTTACTTCTTACAGGAAATAGAACAATTAGCTCCATTGTTACGTACTGTAGGTACCTGAAGTAAGACAGAGGTTGTCATGTAAATTAAACACTGTGTTCCGATTTCTATGCACACACGAATTGTCTAGAAGTATGTTGAGGCAGATGTTTGTTATTTGCAATACATTTAGACATTTTTTCAACTATCATGAGAGAACCCTTTGAAATATTTTTCCACCAGCCGGAGAGAGAGTCACTCAGCTCCAGGTGTCTCTGATACCTTTAGAGTGGAACAGCTTTTTCACCTGGGCCACTCCATATTCACCCACCTGTGAGCCATGATCCATCCAATCCTGTTTTTGATCCCAGCTGTGAGCACTCTCCACCATCCTGCTCCTGTTTTCCTTCCCTCTCCTCCTCGCTATCAGGGGGAAGCATTTCCCGGTCGCACAGTTTCCTGCCAGGGAAGTTAAAGCAGGTAGAGTTGCAATCTCACCTGTCATATTACAGCTGCTACCTCATCCTGCCTGCAACTCTTTGTCTGTGCGTGTCAATGCGATCATGTTAATATCCTCTTATTTAATGTCCTCTTATGTAGCTTATAGTGTAGCTTGTAGTTTGTCAATGTCTGCTAATAATGTCAGTAAATCAAGGTCACAAAATCCACCAAACCACCATGCGAATGCATAAAAAAACCTCATCCCCAATATTGATCTCATGGGCACAACACTGGACATTACGTTAATAATTTGTTTTCTCCAGATTTGTTTTCCCCTTTCCTCTGATCTCAGTCCATGTATAAAGTGTAGAGGTGGACTGGTAAAGGATGACACCTTTCATCAAGCTTGACACTCTATCTGAGTCCCAAATGGCACCCTATTTCCTTTATGGTGCACTACTTTTGACCAGGGCCCATCAGGCTCTCATCAAAAGTAGTGCACTATAAAGGGAATAGGGTGCCATTTGGGACACGTCCAGAGTGACTCAGCCCATTCGTTTCTCCCCTCTGCAATAACAAAACTCTCCTGACTAATTTCCTGGGCCAACATTCCTGCCCAGGATTTGGAGGAGATTACCATTCTGCTCCCGACGCCTGTGAGGTTTTGATCCCACTGGTACCTATTATGACTGAACAGTGTGTTGCTGGCAGGACTTACATGCAGCTAGCTGCTTGACTCAGGGTAGGAACAAGCAGAACAAGCAGGGTTACTCTCTGTGTGTGCTTGCCTTTACCTTTCACACCGAAAGACCAAGGCGGTGGCTCGCTTATCTGGTGTTATGTGACTGGAGGAATCCTATAGTACTACAATACAGAGTTCAACTTCATCAGTTAATGATTGGTTGACTTTGGAAAGAGTTTCAAAACGCTTGGTTTTCAACACGTTTCCATACAGTCACGATGAAGCTGACACGGTATATCTCTGCGTGTGTGTTCGCACAGTTATGTATCATAGGGAGTGTAAACTGTGGAAAAATATTAGTTTGGCATACTGAAGGCAGTCACTGGATCAACCTCAAGCCTGTATTGGACACTTTGATTGACAGAGGACACAGTGTTACAGTGCTGGTGCAGAGTGCCTCTGTTTACATGGACCCCACGGAAAAGGCTCGCTTCAGCTACGAACCATTCAACGTCTCCATCTCAATGCAAGAGATGAGCGATTTATTTGAGGAGTTAATCCACTTTTACATGTACGAGATAGATCACCTGAGCTACTTGCAGATCCATTGGAAGGGGTATCATCTTGCAAAAAGAGATTTAAAGTTTTCCATACAGATCTGTGACGGACTGCTGAGGTCAGAGACCGTCATGAGGAGACTGAGAGAGGCCAAGTACGATGTTCTGTTATCCGATCCAATCTACCCCTGCAGTGACCTGGTGGCTGAGGATCTGGGCATTCCTCTGGTCTACTCCCTGCGCTTCTCTATTGCCCACATGTGGGAGAGGCTCTGTGGGCAGCTGCCTTCTCCACCATCCTTTGTCCCTGGTGCCATGATCAAGTTAACCGATGAAATGAGCTTCACTGAAAGACTGTTGAACTTCCTCTTCTATGCATCCCAGGACATGATGGCATACGGTTATTGGCAAGACATAGACGCCTACTACAGTGAGATTCGAGGGAAGCCATCAACCTATTGTGAGGTGATGGGCCAAGCTGACTTGTGGCTGATCCGGACATACTGGGACTTTGACTACCCTCGTCCTTTCCTCCCTAACTTCAAGTTTGTGGGGGGAATCCACTGCAAGCCTGCCAGGCCCTTACCAGAGGACATGGAGGAGTTTGTGCAGAGCTCTGGAGATGACGGCATTGTGGTGTTCACCCTCGGATCCATGATCAAGAACCTCACCACAGAGAAGGGGAACATGATCGCCTCAGCCCTGGGGCAGATTCCCCAGAAGGTCCTGTGGAGGCTCAGCGGGGAGAAGCCTGAGACCCTGGACCCCAACACCAGAGTCTTCGACTGGATCCCGCAGAATGACCTGCTGGGTCACCCCAAGACCAGAGCCTTCATCACCCACGGTGGAACCAATGGCATCTACGAGGCCATCTATCATGGGGTCCCCATGGTGGGAATTCCTATGTTCGCTGACCAGCCGGACAACATGGTCCACATGAAGGCCAAGGGGGCCGCGGTCATCATGGACTTCAACACCATGAAAACCCAGGATCTGGTGGATGGACTCAACGCTGTGATCAACGAGCCATCGTATAAGGAGAATGCCTTGAGGTTGTCCAGGATCCACCATGACAGGCCCATCAGTCCCAAGGATGAAGCGGTGTTCTGGATAGAGTTCACCATGAGGAATAAAGGGGCCAAGCACCTGAGGGTCCAGGCCCACGAGCTCACCTGGTACCAGTACCACAGCCTGGACGTGTTCGCTTTCCTTCTGGCCATCGTGCTGCTGCTCACCCTCCTCTTCATCAAAACATGCCTCTTCTGTGTCCGGAGGTGCTGTTATGGAGCGAAGTCCAAACGGAAGACAGAGTGACAGGTTCAACACCAGCAAATTTCCATATTTTTCCGTCCTTAAATGTCGTAAAGAGTTGAGACCAGGATTTATAGTCTTACATTGTAAATTTCTCTGATTATTCAGGTCATTTCCATTTGACTTTGTATCCCTTTCTCGATCTTATTGAAATTGATAGGCTTGATATTGATATAATGAAGTATTTGCTTAAATTGCATTTCCCTCTAACATTGTCTGGAATTCTTGTCATTTTTAAGTAACCTATTACACTCAAGATCCTTGCACAACAGACACAAGAGAAAACAATAGATTTTACAGTGGGAGGGAAGGCAGATGAAAAGAAAGAGACAGCAGAGAGGTGGGAGTGGGAAAGACCACAATAAATGGGGCTCAATGAGCCGGTGAACACTGCGGTAATACAACAAGTTGCTCAATTAGACATAAGAAATCCCCCACATTGAGTCATCATATAGACTTGGCCATGCTGACAGTCTCAGACTGGATAATGTGTTTTGTGTTTGAAACTGCAGTAGCTGGTGGCAGGGATAAAATTGAACGATGACCGCAAACAAGTCTCTGACCTTTGAATAGTTACAAACTTCAGCTGGCGACATTTGAATGTCTGCCTCTAGGTGGGATAGCGGCCTTTGTGTGTGTGCTTATATGTGTTCTATTTCACACATGTACAAGTGTGTATATACGCATGTGTGAATTGGAAATGTGTTTTTTGCACATCCCAACTCCGAGATACTCTCGGAGAATGGGGTCACTGCCAGGGTCTGCCATTATGGAGCAATTAGGGTTAAGTGCCTTGCTCAAGGGCACATCGACATATTTTCACCTTGTTGACTTGGGAATTCGAACTAACGACCTTTCGGTTACTGACCCAACGCTCTATCGCTAGGCTACCTGCAGCCTGTGTCTGTGTGTGTGTGTGCGCACACAGTATGTTCACAACAACAAGAGTGAAAGTCTGATCTGTATTGAGTAGCATGAACTGGGATTAACCCCTATGTCCAGATTTTATTCATCCACAAGACCCAGAATGAGTCAGAAATGTAGCAAGCCTAAAATCCATAATCTGATCTTCGACATACTCTAGCTATAAAAATAAAAAAACTTTAACTAGTTAAGCCCACGTGAGGGTAAACCCTAGTCAGAAGACCTCTAATTATTTCCTGTAAACATTAAAGACTACGATTCTGGAAGAGCTCAAATTTAGAAGGTATTGATTTGAATTAGTAATCCTATTCGCTAAGCCCTTCATAATGTGCGTACTAAGCACCCCACAGGCTTGACTAATGCAGAGGGAAGCTCAGCAGCACACCTCCCACACTAGTTTCTATCAACTCCGGCAGCTCGGCTGCTGGATCCTATTCCATTGAACATAATTGCCTGTGTTGATGATTGAGGAGGTGGAGATGGAGCACACTAAAGATGACTAATTGCCTAAGTGGCACTGGAACTGTCGGAAGGGCATCAACAAAAACAAACGCTAAAACAAACAGAGTGACTCACTCACTCCAAGTAGACTGAGTAGAAATGTTGAGCTGTTGGCTACGCTTGAAAAAAAAAGACATAATTGTTTGGCTATTATGTGAGCCTCTTAATCAGGGAAACCAGCTTCACATTTTGCATTTTACATATAGTACTTGTATTATATTTATTACAGTGCATACGGTATTGAGTACCACAGTATGAGTCATAAAACCTGGAAATGGTACCATTCATTTTTTAAATCTCGGATTTTAGACCTACTTCAAATAAGGTCTGTGTTTCGTATAGGCTTACACTGGCGTGACGTTTTGATAACTGTGCAAATCTCTCGGACAAGGTAACTATTATCAATAATTAGCATTGCGAAATAAAACTCACCTTGTCCGAGAGAGAATTACACGGCTATCAAAAAGTCACGCCAAGGTAAGCCTAAACCATACACACAATTAATGAGATTTTCTGGTAAAAATTCACAATGTGAAAATTGAATGGTTGATCCACTGTGGTGATGAGTATACCTCCCTTGTGCCCTCAGAACAGCCTCAATTTGTCAGGGCATGGACTCTACAAGGTGTCGAAAACATTCCACAGGGATGCTGCCCACGTTGACTCCAATGCTTCCCACAGTTGTGTCAAGTTGGCTGGATGTCCTTTGGGTGGTGGACCATTCTTGATACACACGTGAAACTGTTAAGCGTGAAAAACCCAGCAGCGTTGTAGTTCTTGACACAAACCGGTGCACCTATTACCATACCCCGTTCAGAGGCACTTAAATATTTTGTGTTTCCCATTCACCCTCTGAATGGCACACATACACAATCCACATCTCAAGGCTTAAAAATCCCTCTTTAACCTGTCTCCTCCCCTTCATCTACACTGATTTAAGTGGATTTAACAGGTGACATCAATAAGGGATTATAGCTTTCACCTGGATTCGCCTGGTCAGTCTGTCATGGAAAGAGCAGGTGTTCTTAATGTTTTGTATACTCAGTGTAGTGTATACTGTATATACAGTATAGAGTTTCCATGGAGGAAGGGAGGAGGCCATTCCCCCAGTTACAGATAAGAAACTAGTGCTAATAATGCCCTTGCCTCTTTAATAAGTCAAAGTATAGTGGCTGAGGATATTCCCACTCATTACACCCATTTTACAAAACAACTATCTGCCTCCTAGTTACAGCACACTCTCTACTCAACTATGGTCATTAAAATAATGAGAGACAGCACAGGCTTAATGACTTGCTACCCGGATGGTTTGGTCTGCCGGTCAAAAACACTGTGTTGTCAGTAGGGCCAGGAGTTTTTCATAACCGCCTTTGGAAACTAAAAAGGAAACTGACAAAACTTAGGGAACCTAAGAAGGAAACACTCTAGTTATCACAGTGGACCACAATTGTGCACTGAATGACTCAGTGGTGAATGACACTCGCAGTGGTCATTCAGAGATAGGAACATGGCTGAGTTGAGCTTCGTAACAACTCCCACGGTCTACTACAACAGTGTCTGCTTCCCCTCCATGGAAACTACAACACATTGAGAGTCTCCCCTGGCTTCCAGACTTAGTCAGAGGAAGGCTGTTAGTAGTCAGAGGAAGGCGCCCCACTAACCCACCTCGCTGTGTTTATTTCACATATTTGAATGAGTAACAGCAAATTTGCCAAGTATTCCACAGTTCGCCTGCCAATATTACTCCAGCTACAGCTGTTTGCTAACACACTCTTTCTGTGGCTAGCTCCACACAACATTTCAATAATGGGCTCAGATCAAGCAACACTTTGTCATTACCCATTACCCATATAAACAAGCAACTAGCACGAGAGTAGAGTCTGCGATCAGGGGCTTATGTGCCAACAGCGCCTTGATTACAAGTAGAATATGGAGAAACTTGCAATTCATACATCCAAGACACTTATTTATCTCTCTGTCTAATAATGTTCATGAATTTGTATAACTCCATGGGAAAACTGAATAAATACGGAGAATTCTTGGGCGGCAGTAGGAACAGTGTGCTGCTGAAGAATTCTGAACAGGTTGCCTTGTCATCTACGGGCTGTTGATTTTCCCCAAATCTCTGCCAAACAGTTTCTAAAACAGTCTTCCAACAGCTGCTCACACTCATCCATGGAGCAAGAGGCAGGTACACTTAACAACCAAACTGACTCAACATTGTTAATTAAACTGATTCAACATGATAAAAAATTATCTGTCCTGTTTTGAAAAATGTAACTAATGTACAGTATCCATATTAGGATAGCTTCTGTCTCAGCAGGACTATTTTCTGAGGGGAATATTCTTATTCTAAGGAATATTCTTATTCTAAGCAGACACAAACTATCAAATAAAGATACAGTAGATTACCATGTTGTATAAAATAGATGGGACCAGGAAGCTAAGGGTTTTTAGTATGCAGACAGTGTACTCTATCAGACTATATGACAGACAGTTTTGGTTCAGCTCTGAAATGGAACACATAAACACAGACAATCAGATTTACGTGGAGGAAGAGGTCCATTCTCAGTCATTCCCCTGTGAAATGACAACATTGCCGTATTTCAGGAGCTTTCATTTCTGTGCTGTCTCAACTGACACACTGACTAATTATAATGTGTGCTGCACATTCTAAAGAGGCTTTGTTTGATACATAGGAATCAGTGCTTGAAGTGGAAAGAAATAGGTGCCTGTGCTCATTTTGGGTGTTGGTACTTTTTATATTTAGGTGCCAGTATTCATCATATTTTAAGCCAGTACCTGTGTGTAAATCAGTACCTGTGTGTTCCAGCCCAATTCAAACACTGATAGGAATGAATTCTGTAATGTCAGTACATGGTGGAAATCTTACCTGCTATGTGTGTGTTTGTTAACACCTGGATATTTACGCCCCCCTCTGACTCAGTTCACCACTAAACACAATATTTTCTGGCGCATGTAATAGGTTAAAGTGAAACTCCATGAAGGGACTTGAATATTATGTAAAGTACTGCCTCTTCATATCCTATCTCTCCTCAGGAGATAGATGGGTATTACACATCTCTCCATTTCTCTCTCTCCTTTCATCAAAGGGTTTCCTTCCACCCTGAATGGCATTGTTTGCCTTCAACTCCTTGCTGCCATGGCAATGCCAGCAGAGTGACTGGATTATAAATCGGCAGAGATAGTGAGGGGGCGTGACCTTCACGCTATCTGTTGCACACACACACACACACACATACACACACACACGCAAGGATGATGCCAGAGATCACCCAAATGTGTCTGATTGTTTAACAACAATTTTCCTCCTTGAGTCATTACCTGCAAACACAGACATTGATCAGCTCTGAAGAGTGTTGAGTATTGACTGAGATAGACACACAGCCATTGCCTCCAAGGGTAAACTCTCTCCCTCTGATACCCTTCACTTTGAGAGAGGGAAAGGGTGTGTGTGTGTGTGTGTGTGTGTGTGTGTGTGTGTGTGTGTGTGTGTGTGTGTGTGTGTGTGTGTGTGTGTGTGTGTGTGTGTGTGTGTGTGTGTGTGTGTGTGTGTG